TGATGAAAGTTATGTTACATGTAAATTTGTTTCTCACATGGACAAACTAACACATACATACATACGTACAAGTGCACACCATAAATCCTCCACCTTACAATTTTACAACTTGAATTTGAGGTTAGAAATTTTTTCTTTTGACGATTTCATGAATTATGATAAATGATTAATGTATAGTTTTGTTTAGAATTTTAAGGCAAAAAATTTGAACAATTCTTCTTGATTCAGTGAAATAAATACAGAAATTATAAACTAAAATTGACCTTACTACAAGCTTTTCTGAAAATTGATTTTTTTGGTGAAATATGTCTTTGGTAACAGTGTAAGAATGCAAATATGACTCACTTATGGCTTTATACTGGATCAGTTTCATTAGTTGATGTACAATGTATATAGTTTTACCATAGGTAACATTTAACAATAGATTAAAGGTCCTGCGGGATTAGTGTACATGTTACAAACCAGTACTGGCTAGAGAGAATTTGAATCAGTTTTCACCTAATAATGGGTAAATTTTCACAGTCAATTTAAATATTAAGTAATTGCAGTTCATAAAGTGTCATTGATCTAAAGGTGTCATTATATTATAGATTTTTCCATAATTCAGAGGGTATTGGTCTATATTAACAGCAAATTATTTTTAAGCACCCCAGAGTTAAGCAGATATGAATTACATGTATGCAGAATCAAAAAAAAAAAAGTTAAAATATTTGAGCATATTAAACAGCACATTCATATAATGAGAATCTGTGGTTTTTAAATCACAGCAAATGACATAAAAAATTTCCTTGATATGATTTTCTGGTTTAAGGAAGGCCCACACTTTTACGGATCCGGTTCTAATTTTACACATATAAAATAAAATATAAAAAAATTATGATTTTCACTTTTCTATTGATATAAATCTTTTTGATTGATTGAGAATGATTTAGCAAGTAAATATTTGTTTATTATAGTGTTATTGTGCATATGAAGCATATAATATACATTATTTATGGAAATTAAAACTTTGCATTCTGTCCATAAGACCTATATGTCATTTAGAACTTATCCAGACACAAAATTCTTAATTAAATTGCTTTTAAGGACCTAAATCTTTTTAATTTTCTTTTAAGCAAACTAACCTGAGATCTATTTTTATTGATAAAGAGCCTATATCATCCATTTAATTTTTATTATTTAAAAATTTTACATTGAATAATTGAAAAAATTGATATTTCAAAAATGGGGGGTTTACGTCTTCAAAAGACTGTTTTGTTAAATTCTCTGGTCAATCATAATAAAGTAGATGTTTTTGTTAACATTAGATATAATTCTCAATAGTTTTAAAGAAAAAATGGCATCTAAACATATTGGATTTTAAGAATTATAAAAAATAAAGATATTTTGAGATTTTTTTCTGAAAGGCATGGACAGATTCAACACCGATTTGTTAATGTTTTGCAGTAAAAATTTCAAATTTTCTCCAGGTAAATGAATATTTTTGATCTTCATAAGTTTTAACATAAATTTGATGTGATTTGGTGCATAACTAAGAGAAATATGATATCACACTTTTTTATGTGCAATTTTGGCTGTTGAGTTTTTAGAGGTATGTGTGCTGAGACATGTTGTATGAAAATCAATCTGCAAAGATATGTCTTTTAAGGGTGTTTTAGTAAGTTTAAAGACTTGTTCAAAGTATTCAAATTGAAAAATTATCAGTTTGACAGAAAATTCTGAAAGTACGGACCTACCTTAAATAAAATTGGCTGCATGTGGATATAAGTAAATATTCAATTGATGACTGCATTTCAGCTTTATGTGTTAATACCGAGTATTTGTACATTATGTCTTAAATTCTAAGACCTCAAACCCCCACTTACCAACTAATTAACCCTTACCTCTGAAAAATACATGCAAAAACATAAAAACATATATTGATATGCCATAATTCTATGTTTATCATACTAAAGAATATTTTAATTAAAGCGTTGCATGATTGATTGTGTTTTTGGACAACTTAAAAATAATCAGCTGTAATTGTCAGGAATGTACACTATTTGGCGATGTGAGTTGGTGGTATGAAAGACTGGTGTTGCCTGACTGAGGCCTGTAAATATTCCTTTCCTTGTCTTCGTCTGATCAATACGGTGTCTTCACTGCCGACTACAGGGGCTTGTTTGCGGGCTTTACGGCCCGTCTCGGTTCTGAAGAATTCCGAGACGTGCATTGCATGACAAAAACTTAATTCCGAGATCTGATAATAGTCTTCAAGACAAGTTTTCTATCGACATCCAGCAGTAAATTTGTTTTCTACATACCAACGTCCCTTCGGTATTGTTGTTTTTTTTTGGTTATATAGGCCTGATAAATTGTTTTGCATGAATTGCATATCATTGTACATGTGACTACAGTATGAGAGAGAAAAACTGGAATGAATTTTCTATCACATGGTTTTGAAATATTGGAGACACTCTGTTCTAAATCCTATGGGGATCTTTCTAGTTGTAGAGATTTTTAGTTTTACAGCATTGGTGATGACGATAAATACATGAACATTGAGATGAAGGATTTTAATTTACCCCCCTGTGAAATTTGATAGATTTCACATGGTTTCTGTTCCAACGTTATAATTAAGTTGCATTAAAATCAAGTTTTAAGATTTAATTTTCCTTTACCATAGAAATCAAATTTTCAATAGTTTCTTTGTGTTCTGAAAATATGAATCATTTTTAACATTTCTTGAAAATGGAAAACCTCTTATTTTAATTTAGAGCACATCATTAATTTTCTTAGATTTAATTCAAATTAAGAACGTGCACATAAACTGGGTTGTGAGGTTGGTCTAAAATTAATGTATGGGTATGCTGTATTGAATTTAAGGTTGTGTGGGAAGGTTTGATCAATGTTGTATTTTTGCAGAATTAATCCATCTTGAGTCACAGTCAGATAGCGCGGTTTAACAATTGCTTTTTCTGTCTTGTTTAAATATCACAGAATTCTCTATAATAGCACAGATATCGATGTGAATTGTTCCCACATATTTGTAAACTTGGTCAAATTTGTGGAAGGCTAAATAATTCTACAGAGTGCTTTTCAATCAGAAGTGGAGGAGAGCTAGGGGTTGTATCTGCTTCCAAAATGTATTGCAAGGAAATGAATCGGTATTTGCATATTTCCTGTACAGTTTATTAATTTCAAAGCAGCTAGATGTTAAATTTCGATCTAGGGCAGAGACAATCATGTACTCTTTCAACAAAAAATAATAAAAAAAAAGGTTTAAAAAGTTGTCATGTGAAATGCTTGCAGGAGAATTAAAAAAAAAAAGGATTATTTTGTGAATAAGAAAACTCAAATACCGAGTACAGGTACATGTATTGGGTAGACAGAGAAGTTGAAAATTTTAATAATTTAAAAGCTTTTAAATACACACACAAATGAAATCTTTCAAATGAAAGAAACTCTTACAAAATGTTAGTTTTAACTTTTCCTTGAGGAACAATAAAGTTTATAAATTTACAATACTATTAAAGCTGCATTTTATTGTCTTTCACTTGAGAATTTTAAATCTAAGAAATATATAGATAGCCTTAACAGTGAAGGAAGAATTTGTTTTAATCCCTGCAGATATCAAATCAAATAGCGTAAAAATCACTCTTTAGAGTGGAAAATTACAAATTTTATTATTTATGAAGGTGAGATGCAGTATACAGATTTGAGTCTCCATGGCCTAGTTTTTTTGAGATGACTTTTGTTACGTAAATACTCTAGTTCCCACCCAAGTTTTTGGAGTCTGAGATGAAATATTTACTCTTTCTTTCTTTTTTTTACCTTTTGAGTGCAATCAATAAACATTAAAATGCTTTAATGCTTCCATTGTGCTGGAACTGTTAATGGTAAAATTGCGCATAAAATTGCTGCATCAGTGCAGTTACATGTAATTATCTGAAAGATCTTGGTCAATTGTTCCAAACCTGTAATTAGACAGAATCGTTAATGAAAATGTGTGCCATGTTAATGGTTTTGCCATTGCCTCTGAAGGTACTAAAAGTCTGTGTTAATTATTAAAACTCGCTTGTAGATCGAGTTTACTGTAAAATTTCTGATTTTTGTCCCCTTTAAATTTATTAAAAGAAAAGTTACACTTTAAATTTACAGATCTTTATAAAACACACAGTTTTTAAAATATATAGAATATTAAAATCCTGTGATATGCTAAAAATCTGTTAAAGAGCAAATTGGGTTCAAGACACCCACATTTCAAAAAGACATGGTTCATGTATAAAATGTTACAAATCTAATGCCATGTCATTTTCAATGTTCAGCTGCAGTGTATTATAAAATATAAAATTTGATGGAAGTTAGGGTAGGCCTAATGAAGAGTTTCATTAAAAAATATGATGAAATTAATACATGTTTAAAAATAATTAATCAGAATAAAAAATTAATCATGTCATATGGAATATTAAAGGCCCTTGATTCTCGTTAGGGCAGGCCAAGATTAAGTGTAGTGTATTTTCTTGTGGGATGTAATTATTGTCTAAGTCTTACAGAATGATGAACTGGATGACAGAATGTGATAGCATTGACATAATCCTCGTGAAATCTGAGAATATTTGACTCAGCATCATTGTAGAATTAACATCAGCGTAGAATTAACAAAGAAATATTGAGGTGTCTTGCTGCCATATATACTTTATCACATCGAAACTGCGCTGTTACATCTTGTATATATAAGACATATCAGGGAATCTGTATTGATTAGTTTTTCAAGTTGATTGAGAATTCTTCAACGCAGGTGATTTTGAGCAGTGAGTTTTGTTTAATTAACAATTAATCGTCAAGACGTAGGTGGGAACTCTTCCTCAGACAGGTGGAATTTGGTGAGGGCCAATCTCGAGCCTTATATACGCTATGATGCCTGATTGATAATGCTGACTGTTTATGCAAGATTAAGTGAGTTTCCAATACCTGATTTATTCCTGGTGAATATACAGTAATGGTATTGGGTAAAAATTTCCTCTTGACTCTCTCTCTCTACACACGTAGCTGAGAAGTCGTGAGGCAGTAGGACAGTATATCTATACACTGTGATGCTTTATAGTGGTCAATATAGGCCCCCTCTCTATCTGTGCTAGCCTCTGAATCATCCAATCGTGGACCACCGCCATCAACGTTTGTTTTTCCTTAATTGTAGTAAATAGTGTCTGAATCAGGGATGCTGTGTCATTGATTGGGGAAGGCTTTAACTCGGCACTGATTGGTAAGATCCACATTATTCTCTCTACATGTCGTTACTCGGGAGTTCGGAATCATTTTATCTGTGGCTTCTCTCTGTCATTTTTCACAGATTAGAAAGATTCTTTCATTATATTAGCTCTATTGTTATCCGGTTATGAATTAACTGTTAGGTTTCATTGGTAATGGATACTTAATGTTTTTTTTTTTTTTAAAAAGATGTATTGGTATAAAAAATTAACTTTTGAATGAAGAATTTGTTGAATGAAGCATTGAATGGTTCTATTAATTATCACTTCATAGTAGTCACCAGGAAAAGTGCATATGCATGGATTATTGAATTTTGAAATTTTAAATTTTATTCACACAACTGTATGATGTTTAGGAAACTGAAATAGAAAAATTACCATCTAATTTTTGTATATATTTCTATAGATAAGAGTATTTTACTGCAAATTTTATACAGTGTAATTTTAAATGATGTTTTTTTGCAAGCAGTTAAGTTTTAATTTTACATTTTTAATTTTACGTTATGAATAGAATTGAATTTTCTAGTATAGTCATGATAATGTTCATAAAAGAAACAGATACAATCTATTTTATCAATGTATTATGATAAATTGTTTCATATTAAAAGTTCTTGGATTACCACTGAGGCTTAAACATGTTAAAAAAAATAATAAAATAAAAAAAAGTGTGATAGATAAAACAAACGATCACCAATTAAACAAGACAACACAGCATTTAAAAATTTCGGTGTGATATTTGAATTGAACAATATATTTCTTTATTAATAATTCAGTAAACATTTGTTATGAACCATTCAGATATGATGAAAGGATCAAGAGACTACTATAAATGCTACATAATTATTAAATTAAATGCTACATATATGTCAGAATGGATTAAAACGATGAGGTGGGTGTGTAAGCCTATCGTGTTGTTAAATATGAAGGTGCCAAGAAATGTGAGAGAAGTGGGAGTTTTTATGGTGAAATGATTCTCTCTCTCAAAGGCCGCAATTCCCAAAAGGTTATTAAAGTTGATTGAAATTTGATTTATTTACAGCATTTCAGGAAAAGGGTTATACCAGTTTAAGTTTTTTTATCATTTTTTTAAAACATGGGTATTAAAAATTGATGGTTTAGTCAAACATGGAATTTTTTTTCCGAAGTGATATTAGATTTACTTAGGGTGTCATAGAGTGTCACTTGAAGATTCAAGACTTTTCTCACCAATACTGATAGGAAACTTTGATTATGTATCTTTTAAGCTTTTGTAATCAAAGCTTGCCCTACCGTACAGGCGCGATCTCTTCTTTTCACACTTTAACAATGGTAGGAATTCATATCAACACATTATCTGTGCGAACGTTACTCTTACTCAGGCTTCTCTAATTAGATTTATGAAGTCTTTTCCATTGGACCAGTAAATTTTAATCTTTTCGGTCCCCTGCCTCACACATTTCTTCAGTGAGATTTCTGGACCAGTCTTTGATGAGGCATTAATATACACACACTGATTGCATTGCAGGTCACAAACAAGATAATGGTGCCTTGCTTACAACATTAGAAGAAGCTGACGATGTGCTGGAAGATGGCATGTCCTTTATTTCTATAGAGATCGAATCTAATAAACCAAAACCCCAGATGATTCTGACATCTTGCACTATAAGGAAAGCTTCAAAGTAACGGAACGGTAGAATCAATAGAAAATCGGACATCTCTTGATTGAACACAGCCAAGGGTAAGCATCTGCCCACAGATCGCTGCAAAAATTCTGGGATGATGCATGAAGGTGGTGTAAATTTTGTACTCGGTCCTACAAATAGTATTGACACATAGAATATATGTTTATGATTTCTGTATTGTCTTTTGACAAATTTTCTGAATTATATTTTCAAACAATAGGATATTTATTTTATTCATACTTTAGGCCACTTTTAAAAAAATTGGAGAGCTACAGTGCCACCCAATAAAAAACTGTTACACAGTATATTTGTTGTGCACAAAAAAGTGCGCTCGGATCTTGATTAATTTTTCCAAAGTCTTACCTCAATTGCAAAAAAGGGAAGATTTAAAAACATTCCTATCTCCACAATCAAGTACTCTGACTCGTAGTTGACATCTGAATGAAGCATATTGGACCGAATTATCTTTGAAACCAAAATGGCAGTATAAATAAGTGAAATGATCTATGATTACAATATCAGGGTCAAGAGGACTATTAACAACAATTATTAAGAATATGTTAGGAACACAGGGTTAGTAATATTTTGAGATCACAGTTTAAAAAACATGGAGAAATAAATCGAGAACTGAGTGCTTTTTTTTGTGTGCAATAAATATACAGTTTTTACAATGGGTGGCACTGTAGCTCTCCGGTCTATCAATAAGTTTTTTCGGAGAGCTACAGATCTGCAGCTAATGATTTCTATAATGACTTTTGACTAATTTCCTGAATTATATTTTCAAACAATAGGATTTTTATTTTATTCATACTTTAGGCCACTTTAAAAAAAAAATTGTTTGGTTGCCCTCTCCCGACTTGGTCTGAAAATATTGGGTCGGTAGGTATTTTCCAGAGTACTAAAAAAAATTGTTCCTTGGAGGTTAAAAAGATGTTTTGAGTCTGGCCATTTTTAGCCACTTGGTCAGGAGAGGACAAGCAAACAATTTTTAAAGATGGCCTTATTTATGCATTTTAATAATTATTATCTATTTTCATCTTTTTGCTTTCCTTTTTTTTTTTTGTATCCTGCTTTTGCTGTCAAGTAGAGATATCAATTTGGGTGACTGTAATTCTGTCTTTAGCTGTCCATCTGTATGTCTCTCTCCCAGTCTGTTAGAGAAAACTGTTTTAAATTTGATTTTGAGGTTCAACGGTCAAGGTCACAAATTTATATAACTATGCACTGTACACTAACATTCCAGATGAAATCTCAAAAAGTCCTTTAGCTGTTGGAATTTAATTTCATTTCATAACTACAATGTACCTGTGGCTTAAAGAAGACCCTATTTATTTTGAGGTCAAAACTTCAAGGTTACAGTTTATACAGTGAACTGTTAAAGGGTTAGCTAATAACGCATTCAATAGATCAGGTGGTTAGCCTAGTCCTTTGGAAGCCAAAGGTGAAAACTTAGAGTTCAGAGTTATGTAGGTATGAAATAGTTTCTAGATTCACTTCATACTATGTACACATGTAGCTAAACCATGTACTGTAAACCAACTATTATTCGCGTCATCTTTTATTCACGATTCGTCAGTTTAAAATCAATCCGCGACGATTAATTTCCGCGACCGAGGAAATATTCTCTACAAATCCTTAGCAAAATGAATGGTTCGCGGCGGTTAATATTCGCGAGTTAAAGGTGGTCGCGGAACTCGCGGATATTTCTTGCATGCGAATGAAAGTTGATTTACAGTACATGTATGACCCCTATTGATTTTGTGAAGATTTAAAAAGGTACAAATGTCAAGGACACAAACTTGTATATAGTTACTTTATTTGCTTTCGGATAGTACGTCAAGTAACCATCTGTCCTAAAGAAGGAGACATAATTTCCCTTAAGTAACTTGTTTCAACTGAGCTAATTTAACCATATTTATTAAATGGCAATGTTTTGGGACTGACCTACTATATTTGGTTTGACAGAGCCAAAAATCTTTTTTTTTCAATGTCAAAGGCTGATTAGCAGCAGTTTGGTTCAGTGTTCAGTAAAAGACAAAATTTTTCCAGATCCCTTTCTATTTATGAATTGAGTGAATTAATACAGTAAAACTTGTCTAATCCAGACACCACTGGCCCCCAAAAAATTGGTCAGATTAGACAGGTTTTCAGATAAGACACAGTCACACCATTTTAAACAAATAGATTAACTGTAATGGGATTTAAAGTATACACCATATTAGTTGACAGGGGATGCTCACTCCTTCATGGCACCTTATCCCACCTCTGATGTTTTGGAGGTCTGTGTTTGCTCTGCTCCTATTTGTACTGTTTTATGGACTTTTGATCTTAAATACTGATCATTGTCTCCATATGTTTTATTTTACAAGATTTTGGACTAAAAATATCCAAATTAGACAAGTTTCACTGTATCTTCACTTGCAGAATTTTGGGGTCTGATTTGAGAGCAAATACTTTAGAACTATAATGAAAGTCCCTAGTATGTTCTAGGGATTTCATTTTCAGTGGTCTGTTTACTAAATGAACTAAAGACAGTTCAAAAAATCATTTTTTCTTGGACATTAACCCTAATTTGATATGAGATAATCTTATGAAAAGAAGTCTTGTCTGTCAAAATTGTTCTTTCAATTCAAAAATATTTTTAAAATATATGTATTTTTTTAAAACAATAGAATACCATAACTAAGATTTTATTATTTGGTGTCACTCCTTTTTCTTTGAATTGGTTACCCGGTTAAGTTTTGAAAGCCTGATCGAGACAGGTTCAAGTGCACTGTTATTACATAATAATGGATCCTGATTATTGGTCCTTTACAATCTCGGCCATATGACAATGTTATATGTGTTAATTATCTTGGAAACTATGGTAATGCTTTATCAATTAATTGTGTAATGTGTCCAATGTTATCTCACCTGGTTAATTATGAAATTCTTCCGAGAGAGATATATATACATGTGACAATAGCCAATAATGATAGAATGCGAGTCGACTGATTTTTTTTCCGTTTCATGTTTTACAGGTACATCACACTGAAGTGTGAATCTGTCAATAATTGATGCTTGGTAAAGAGACATCATGCCTTATAGATGTGACACAGCAGCAGGAAGTCAGAATCGGGGCTGCATGTCAGGAGCAGAGGCCTGAAGGAACGGCACACAGATAAAAGCAAGTCTGTCCTCCCAGTGTTACAGGATCAAAGTGGAGTGTGGAATATCCACATCATGCCTGGAATATACACTATAGATAGTGGGCCTTGATCTGAAAAAAAAACCCACAGTCAATAGGAATTATAATTACTCAACAGCTCCAATTATAAATTCTAAGTGAAGAGAAAAAAAAAAGATGACTGCTATGTTTTTTTTCCTTCAGCAGTTAAAAATAATTAAGACTTGAAAAGAAGACTTGTAGAATCAATAGGCTGTGAGGTTTTTCATTATATCAGTGATGATGTCGCCTGAATACTCCACCTCTTGTGTTCTCTGTGGTTTTTTGTTTTTAGTTTCTATGTCCTCCACATTAAGCTTCAAACTAGAGGGATCTTCCTCCTCCTATGCAAAATTCCAGAAATGGAGACCCTGTCAAAATGGATCGCTTCATTTCGAATTTCAGACTTCCATGGCTAGTGCCCTACTCCTCTACATGGATGATGGGGGATTTACGGATTACTTCGAGTTATCCCTGCTGGTTGGGGCCATTCAATTGAAGGTCAATTTAGGGGGTAGCCAGGTTAGGTTGAATTTAGGGAACAGTTTGAATGACAGTCGATGGCACAAGGTTGGTGTGTTCAGACAGGGTAGGACTGTGACGCTCACTGTAGATCAGCTGTCCACGTCCCAGGAGTTTTACGGACGTAACTTGGATTTCGGCCGAGGGAGAAACAGCCCTGTGTTTATTGGAGGTCTTCCTTCACTATACCTTGACAGACAATCAGATTTAACTTTGCAGCATGTTATATACCAACCATTCCTGAATGGATATGTTCGTAAAGTTCTGTATAGTAATTGCGGGGAGTCGCTGATTCGGCCAGAAATGTTGGATTCCAGTGGAATTGTGGGAGAGACGAATCTTTGTTCGCGTAACCTGTGTAAAAATGGAGGAGTCTGCATCACCAAGGATACGCAGACCACCTGTGACTGCAGCAGGACCAATTATGAGGGAGCGTTCTGTGACATCGGTAAGTTATAAATGACAAGGATTTAGAATTGTGTACAATTACTGTGGTTTCATCAAATTTTGTTGGAATCAATTTTCGTTGATTTTGTAAAACAGACGTTTTCAAGGATACGTAATTTCATGGACAAAAGCATTGCCTATACAAATGAATATCGTATTTGTTAATTCAATGAACATTTGAATTTGTGGATCTCAACAATGAAATCCTTGAAAATTAGTGCTCAACAAATATTGATGAAACCACAGAACTTGGTTTAGATTTGTCATGACACCCTGAATGAATTCAGTTTTGGAAACGTATTATCAATGTTCCGCTTAATTTTGTCTGCAAGAATTCTTTCAGATGGCTTGATAATCTTAATGAAACTTTTCAGTAACACTTTATATCATAAAGTGGACTTGTGCATGCAATATTCTAAATGGCCACTGTTAATTGCCAAAGAAGAAGGTACAGTTTCAATACAAAGTAAGCCCGATATTTTTCTAAAATATGAAAGTGATGTAAGGAAACAAAATTCATTCTTTCTTAATCATAGAAATTCCCTGCAGCAAGAATATACAAATTGTTTTTCTCATATGACCTCCTTAATGCTAATTGTGACGTCATTAACTTGTGCATTTTCCCGTATTTTCTTAAAAAGTTGCAGAAGACATCAACTTTCAGTGGAATTTTCTTTCAGAAAACATACTCTGCCACCGTCACCCGGAAAGATTTTGAGATATGTGATTTTTCATAACAGTTTACATAATATATCCAAAAATTAAAGTGGGCGACGGTGGCAGACACCATTTTCCTTTACACTATTTTCTAAAGGAAAATAAGCACAGAAATGAGTCATTTTGAGGCTTTTCTGCATGAAACTTAAAAATGCACCAAATTAATGTGCATCCTCATTCATGCCATATTCTTTCATGATTAATCATATTTATCTACTCAACTATTGTTAAAGCCAATATCATAACTTTTTAAGACCATTCAATTTTTAGGGCACATTAAAGTTCAAACTGTACCTTCTTCTTAAGGTCGGGTTCACCGTTGACATACACAATGCTTGCAAGGCAAAGCTTCTGGTTTGATTTGTTTTTTAGATCCTGAATATTCTAGAATGAGTGGATTTAATTTTCAGCCTTGATTTTCAAGGTCATCCAACAATAAAAGTTTAAGAAACAAATCTTTTTGCAAAATTTAATTGAAATAGTATTTTATATAATCCAAAGGAGTTTTTCTGTAAAAGATTTCAAAGATAAATCAGAAATAGGGATGAAAAGACCACAAAAGTGAGATGGAATTTACTGTAATTCGTAAAATGATTAAAATTAATCCTGTATATATAGTTTAATATTACAGGGATTAGGAATATAAGTACATGTACTGTTGAACATTCATTTTAATTTGAGGTGGCCAATTTTTATTGATTGTTTAAAATTTATGGGTTTTGGGGGGCACAATATCCCTGAGCAAATGTCTCATAAATCAACTAATATCCCTGTTGGTTGTAAAATTGTGAGTTAATAGGGTGGATACTCGCAGAATCCACAAAAATTGATACTCCTATTTTTTTATTCATATATCATTCTTTTGTTATATAGAAATTATGTACCTCTGACCAGTTTGTATATATATTGTATATATGTTATTTGCACCCCATGTACCAATCTTGGTTTGGGTGAATAAAATGAACTTGTCAATGAACTTCCCTCCATGGTAAACAGATCGAAGGAAAAGCAAATGTAAAGTACGCATAAGAAATGATTTTTTTAGTTTTGGAAATGTAGAATCAAATGTGGACATTGTAGACTGGCTGCATCCACTTGAAAAAAGGCAATTATTGAAATAATCATCTAAATGCATTTCATTAAATTAGCTGTAATCCTTTAAAAGGTAGTTGAGTGCTTCCCCGTTAAGATTTTTCCTGGAGATAATTCTTTGCGAACATCCTTTAATGCTTTGCCTGGAGGTTATCGAACAGTTGCATGTCAACTTGCCGACTACGTTTTACAACTATGATTTCGGAGAAATTTTCTTCCTAATACCATGATGGTTATGATATTGAGTGATGTACTCCTGCAGTTTAATGTTTAATATCGCTGTAATTTCTGTAATATCTGTTTCTTTTTCATGTCTTTCTGTCATAATTTGCAAGGCCAATGCATCAAAACGTTTTAGCGATGAGAAAAATGTTTGTACCGTGGATAGCTGATTTTTATCCTTTTTTCGGCTCCAAAAAGAACAATATTGGGATTATCGAACACAGCGTTAATTATGGCAACCCCCAAACATGGAACTAGACCAGAACCGGCTCTTTGTCAAATTCATCTTATTTGTCATCTAATCAATTTTACATTGCTGAAGAAATGAGAAACTCATTGAAAGCCCTAGCAAACCCTATTTGTGATCAGATAGCATGAAATGGATTTGTAATTGTATGTGTTCTCCTGAAAATATTTTTTGGAGCCAGGATTTTGTTTTTTGATTTTTCCTCAAATCACAAGTGATTGATTACCTTTAAAAGAATGCAATATTGTTCTCTGACAATATAAAGTGATACAGCTGAACATTTTATCTGCTTTCCACATCATTCAAAGCAATATTTCACAAAAAGCCATTAAATGATTTTATTAAACAGGATTATTTGTTCATTCCACATTAGTCAATTGGTTTCTTAGAACTGTAACTGCTTCTCTACAGATTAAGCCATTGAACTGACTTTTATGTCATAAAATAATACTTGATCTGCTGGGAAACGGAGTTGGACATGTCTCCCACCTCTGTCCATGCTTAATTGGACTGCACTCTTGAGCAACAAAATTAATCCTGGGGAGAATGCCTCAAAATGTCCTTCACATTGACACAGCTACCCATACGGAAAAAAGGGCAAACAAACTACTATAACAAATTACTAACAAACCACTAGTTTAATAGTATAGCAAATCACATGAAAATGAGCTAACAAACTATACTCTAAAAAACTACTATCAAACCACTCTTAACAAACTACTATTAAAACCACTCTAACAAACTACTATCAAACCATTCTAACAAACTACTATCAAACCACTCTAACAAACTACTATCAAACCACTCTAACAAACTACTAACAAATCACTGGTAACAAATCCATCAGCAAAACACTAGATTTGATTTTTCCTTTACAAATCCACAAGTCTTTGAAAACACCTAAAACAGTCATATTTTGAAATATTCAACAAGTCCTGTTTCCGAGTATTTTAAATTCCAGGATTCACAAGTTTAGCCAATGCAAGTGCAACATTCCAACATGTTCACTTTTGTTTAGGAGATGCAATTCCAAGTCAATGTCCATGTATACTTATCACATATTCCCCCTCATGTTGTGCACATCTTCATAGTATTTTCACCAAAAAAATGTTCTTCAAGCTGACATTTAAATATTCCCTGCTTCATCTGGCATGGAAAATTCTGCAATATTTCCTTTTTTCTGGCCTTATTGCAACTTTGAAAGACATCTTTTTTGTCTTCTTCCAATAATCCAATGCATAACTGATCTAAACTAGTAAAGGAATTAAAGGTCAATCTGAAAATAAAGAAAAACCCAAAGCTAGTAAAAACCATACACATCCACATCCACAGAAGGTTAATTACTGTAGTCCAGCCTTATTTTAGGTAAAAAGGAACTTCATGACATGCATTAAATACCTCCTCTGTATCCAGATCCATCTTTTAATAGTGTTAATTGCTGCTTTTTCCAGTCAGGAATCTTATAGAATGATACTAACAATTTGAATGTCCCTAAATCACCATTTCCTTTGTTTCTGACCTGCTTGGTGGTTTGGTGGTTTGAAAATTGGCGCAAATAGCTAACACCGGATGTAAAGATTAAGCTGTTCTTGGAAACTTCAACAATTTTAGATAATTCAACCCTAAACATGTCTGTAAAGTAATTTCCCATGTGGTTAGATGCAAATGCTATACTAATAAAACACTGTTGCAAGATACCAAGTCTAACAAACTATAAAGAAATCACAATCAGCAGAAATGAAAGACTAACAAACCACTGCAGTTATTTTTAGAAACAGTGGTATGTTTGTGTTTCATTAAATGCTATACTATCAAACTACTTTAACAAACCACAAAAATATAGTTTGTTGGTAGTTTGTTGATGGTTTAATAGTAGTTTGTTAAAAATCTTTTCCGTTTGGGTAGCTTTAATTGCATACAGAATCTCTTAAAGATTTTCTGTGTTAATTGTTGAATGATCATATTGTAGCGCACCTTAATTATTGAACATGTTGAAGGTGCACATATGTCTATGGATTGGTTAAAGGAATGGAAAATTAAAAAAAAAAAAAATTTAAAAGAAATAATGAATGTTAGACAGGTCATGATTTTTTTTCTAAGACCATGGATCAAAATGGCTAGGATGGAGACTAGAATTATATTTCCTGTAATCATCCCCATAAATTTAACATGCAGTTTTGGTCATGTAATTGCCCCTTAATTTGGGTTATAAGAACTCATATTGTTTAATATAAATTCAATTGCAAAAAATCCTTTTTATGCACATGATGCATATGAGTACTGTGGACCAGGGGCAACTTTTTGAATAAACAGTTTTAAATCTTTTTTGATTGATGGAGAA